CTGAAAGTCTTACATTACAGGTAACCTGATGACAGGGAGGGTGGGCCACAGACACACATCTCAGCCTGCCCGCCTGCAGAGCCAAACGTAGCCAGCTTGCAAGACGGAGAGCGAGACCAATAAGCCGGGATCAATGGAACCCTCCCGGGAACTGGCTGTTCCCCTTTCAAATGACACCTCCCTAATCTCTGCACTTGCTCAAGTCAAATTCTTCAAAGTTCTGAACATGACACGAGGCTGGCAGGATTAGAAAAGGCAAAGGAAGAATGCTTTCGCCAAATCATGGGTGGAGGCAGAGGGACCAACGTTATGGACCGTTAACATTCAGGGTCAGAACTGAGGCATGCTGCTGAAAGCTACAATGCCTTCCCTCAACCACAAGGAGAAACAAAGGCATCTTGATCTGCAGTAAGGGCTACTGTATGCCCAGCACTGTCCTGGGCCCTAGGTCAGGGTTTCTACCCTGGGAGACAAAGGAGCCTATAACAGGAGAAAGACAGAATGGCAAAGAGTGATCTTCTATTCCATGAGCAGGATCCTTGCCTAAGTATGGTTTAAAATAAATATTAAAAATAAATCAGCAACCGCACCCAAAGCTTTCACAGTGTGTGCACCCAGAGAGTACTGTGCACCACGAGTGACCAAACAAAGAAAAAGAAAAGCATCAAAGAGACCAAAAGCAGTTCTCAAACTAGTAAAGGTGAGTGAGGCCAAAGTGGGCCTGATCACTGCAGCGCAGGAAAAGGAAGGCGTCACCTCAGCAGTGGGCTTTCTTGCCAGTCCTCTCCATCTTCAGGCAGAGCCGCTTCCCTCTCAGGGACCTCCCAGAGCATTGTGGCTATTTTTACTGGCCATATAGCATTTCTTTATATGGCTATAATGCAGTTTATTGAACTTGTTCCCCTCTGGTGTATGTTTAGGTTGATTCTACTAACTTGTCCCTATAAAAACCTAGGAAATACAAAAAGGCTACCCCAAGAAAGAGGGCTGAAATTAGAAGTGAAGAAGAAATGTCTAAAGTCACTGGGTCTTAGCTGTGGACAGGGCCCTTCCCTGTGCTGGCCAAGGAACACCTCATGTCTCAGGCTTAGAGAGCAGCACAGCCAGCTGCAGGCCCACATTTAGGAAAGCCTATTGTCCTATGTCATCTATTTCATGTATTTGGATAGCGGATAATATAATAGTCCCTTGAGGCTAGAATATGCATGTTAAGAGCCCAAAATCATTAAGGAAAAAAAAAAGTAGTAGACATGTTACTTTACATTCTCTCAGATTAGTATCTGTTGTGAAACCGAACTCTCAGTTAAACTGTACAAAACTCATGAAACAAAGGGATTCAAATGAAGATTCAATAAATGTGTATGTGCCGTGTGTCCTAAGGCACTGATAGGTACATTTCCTTGCCATGCAATCTGAACGATAAGGCAAGTATTAACACCTCCATTTGCAGGGGAGGAAAGGAAGGTCACAGAGATTGAATTTGGGGCAAAAGTCCCTATAAAACTCATAAATTTCAGAACTGAAATCTACGCTTGTGTTTCTTTCAATCTCTAAACTACCATTCTTTCAATTGTCCTCTGGCTGATGATTTCCAGCTAAAATACTAGACCAGCAATACACTGCATTAAATTATGGCATGCGTAACTAGTGTCAATTATACTGTGGAAATAAGAAAGTCTGGAACCATATCTTAAGTATTGGTTAGGAGGGGGTGTGCATAAAATAGAGAATTCAGAAAAATGTTACCGCCCTTAACTTTATTTCATTCGAAGATGTTTAAAATAAGTCCTATACTTTTATAGAAATGAAACCATAATACCTTCATCATTTAAAACATAGGAAAAGAAAAAGGGAAATGCATGTATACTTTAAATACATTAGCTACATTCTGTCAGTAATTCTGAGAGTAAAACCAGACAAATGCAAGGGAAAATTCAGCAGGAAAAGTTGACAAGTGATAAAATGGTATTAAGACAACTTTTATTAAAGGATTACCAGAAGACTTTGCAATATGTGTGGCCTCCCTCTAATGACAGCTGCTTCTGTTACTGCTAGTTTGTGGGCCATTCTAAAATACAACATTAAATTTGGAAAAACTGTTTTCAGCACAGATGCCTAAGTAATAGGTGTTGTGTAATACGGCACAAAAATTATCCTCATCGGTTGGGACTGGAGAGGGCAACTCCACACCACACAGGGCCTGCTGCACCAGGGTGCCCCTGTCTTCCATTATCCAGAACAAGAGACTTTCCAGACACAAGGGTGGGGAGGGGGAGCTGGAACGGGGAGCCCTGGCTTCCTCCTTGGCTGGTGATTTGCCTTGCAACTCTTACAGTTTGCTTATTTATAAAACAGTCAATAACAGGTCTGGTCTTGAGGCTCAGCTAGGATAAATACACAAGAGAGTACTGTTAACAATATGAAGCCTATGTATTAATGTAAGGTTCAAAAATTAGATGCTTCTATGTATAAGACATAGGTGCCCATTACTAAGAATATTATGTCATTTTAGTTCATCTTAGCAGATACTCAGAAAAGGGCTCAGATGCCCCAGGTTAGAAAAATTCCACTGAGCCTAGAATAAGTCTGCTCATGAACAAGAAAGAAATTAAATAAAAACATAAATTCCATGCAGTATACTAATGGGATCGTTATTCTTTCAAATCTACAGCATAGACAGGAGGTAACAGAAGAGAAATCCAAGAGACACAAGACCACTTAGTAAGGCTCACTCATGGATGACAAAGAGCTTTAATAGCACCTAGAACCTTCTAGAAGCAACCTGCACTAATGACTCACACTGCCATCTTCAGAAAACAGAGTGCATTCCCCACACACTCATCCTCACCCGAGGAAATACTGAGTTCTAGGAAGCTGACGTGACTTAGCTAAACTCTTACAGATGTCCAAGACTGGAATCCAAGTCTTCTGCCTCTCTGACAGTAGCTCTTTTCCATCACCTAAGTACCCAGGTCTCTATTTTTTTTCAGAGTACTGACTTGACTGCTGGCATATGTAAGGAAATGTCACCAGTGTGCTACACCAGAATTCTCTCTCTTCTTCCTGATCTACCATTTTGGTTGAAATCCCCGCACCTTCTCAGAAGACAGTTTGTTTCTCAGATATTAGCACTGAGCAAAGGTAGTATGGGATTGTGTCAAAGCTGCAAAAAGACTTTAAGGTGTCTGCGTGAAGAGATGGAAAAGAAAGGATGAGAGAGGAAGGCTGACGTGAGGCTGGATTTACACCAAGCTTCACCCTCCCAGGTTTTAAACGATGTTGTAAGGGACGTGACTGTGCATTTAATGGCCAAAAATACTCACCATCCCCTCAGATGGGGATGATGTGCTGACTTAGTAAACCAGACAGGTAACGGTCAGCCTTGAAGGTGAGTGACAGTAAATGTTCAACTGGTGATGACTTCTCTAACACATGTGTACCATTTATTAAATAGTTATTTGGGTGACACTTTAGCAAAATACTTTTAGACCCATCAACCAGCTATTTAAAGCCCCAAAACTCTTAAATTTACTCATCTGTCATATCCATATCCATGATTATAAATACAACTCAAACTGAATAAAATGGCACAACTGGTAAGTATCACGTACGAGAAAGATCAAGCTTGAAGTTAACGTTAAGACTTAAGCGTTGAAATACCTATGAGCCATGACAGAATTTTCAAACCATGAAAGGACAATACTAAAATAAAGTAAATTTTTAGACAATTTCCAGACATTCTGATGTATACGATTGAAAAGGAAGAAAGACTACAACCCAATGGGCAAAGGCGGGGATCAGAAATAGGCTTGTGTAACTTCAAGGCTGTCTCTTAAACATCTCCAAGTTCTTCAGCTTTTCCGGATCCCACAGTAGGAGTTACAAGCACTGTCCATCACAGAGAGGTAAGATCAAACTGAGGGAGCAGAGGTACAGTTGTAGAGGTACATAATAAATGTTACACAGATAGTTTGTCTAATAAAATCCATACACCTGGATTAAAACCTATAGTGACTAGATCACTCTGTGTCAGATAAATATAGAACTGATTTCCAAAAGATTACTTTTACCAAAGAGGAAAAGAATTTTTAAAACAATTCAAAACCTAAGTTTCCCATAAGACAGTGACATTTGGAAGCATTTCTATAATCCATGCAGACACTAAATTATACGATAAACAAGCCATGAAACTTTGGTCTTGTATATTCAACCAAACAACTGTCAAGCCTTGTAGGTTTTTCTGCTTATATGTGAGTTTTATTTATGTTACAATAACTGTGAAAGTGTTTTCAATTTTTGAAAAACACTCCACTTAGTTTCAGAAAACTTATATAGAGATTTTTCCCTCCCCACAATTTAAATTAGAATCTTTCCTCGTTCAGGCCCCAGATAGGTAGTTCTAGAAGCTTTTATTTGAGGGGATGAGCAGCAAAAATGTTTCTAAATGTAATAGACTTGCCGACATCTGTAAGTTATGATTCATGTTATAGACTCTAGGTGTATAAACTCATTAGCACTTAGTGAAATTTTATTTCCCTAAGTTCTCCATCATATTTTATTTCGTTATTTTAATATTTTATTCGTAATGTATTATTTTATTTTTTCAGTCACTTCTAAATGTGACATTTTCATCTTCACAGTAATGAGACTGATAAATTCTCCATATGCTGGAGCCTGCAAACACATAGCCTGCGGTTGTATTGCTTCTTATTTAAATAATGTGTTTGTGGTCTGTTTGTTTTGTTTTGTTTTTTCCCTGAAAAAAAGAATTCCACTCAAAGGACGTCATCAGGACAGCGTGAAGTAGGCGCAAATTCATTGCATGAAACTGCTAAAAGCTGGCTCGGGTGTAGGCCTTTGGTTCTGAGGGACGGCAGGACCTCTCCCAACCCACTGCATTTTGCTCTCAGTGACTCAAGAATTGAATCTCCACCCCGAGTCAGGGATCTCTGGAGTGGAAGAGAGAGAACCAGCGGACGCCCGGGCGGGGCTGACCTTACCGTCCAGGTGGCCGACTTGGCGGTGCTGGACTGCTGGAAGGACACGTCGAAGCTGTGCGGGCCAGGGTAGTCGGTGTTGGAAGGGATCGCAGGCGACGGCGAGAGGGCGTCGAAGGTGGAGCTGGGCTGCGCGTAGGGCGAGGGCGCCGTGACGCTGTTCTGCGCGTGCTCCGTGTTGTAGGGGCTGGTGGACGAGGAGCCGTTCTGAATCTGCTGGTCCATGCTGTTCAGGAGCCCCAGGTTCGTGTACTGCGGCTGCAAGGACACCGAGAGCACAACGTTAGCCACGGAAGCCGCGGAGCCTGGCTTCGGGGCGCGTGCACTGCACAGCCGTGAAACGCGTCGTGTGCAAACTGAAATCAGCAGCGTGTGCTGCCCGCGGGTGCCGTGCGAGGTCGGGCAGGGTTTTGTAATGACCTTCGCGGGTCACACAAGCCTCAGAGTGAGTGACGGTAGGGGACAGGCTTATACGCAAACGAGGCAAAGAGTGGCTCTCCGTAGTCCAGTAGGAACCCTTAAAAATAAAATCTGTCATTCCTTTCGAGGGGTGCTTTCCTATGCAGAATGATGACGACTGTTTGATAGCTTAAAGGGGACTTAAGCATCCAATTGTTGCATAAAGGGGAAAACCAACCCATCATCGAGATTCTTCTTAGTCTTATAATTCTAAAAGTGGCGTCAAGACACCAACTGCACCATCTCTGGGAAGAGCTTCATTAAGACTGACTAACGGAGCGAGGATCTTGTACTGTCTGAGCCAGTGCAGAACTACTGGCCTCAAGTGATCCTCCTGGCCTCTTCAGGAACTGGAACTCCAGGCGCTTGTCAGCACACCCTGCCTCAATTAGATACTTGAAAAGTTAACAGGCCAGTCTATCATCTAACGCTGGTTTATTTTTTAAATTGTTCTTCCGCTTTATTTTCTAGAATAGAACACACATTAATAAAATAAATATCACTTGTTATGGATAAATTCAGAAGTACATCAAGCTGATGCAGCACCATTGGACAGATGATTTTTATGTCTTCTATGCCAAAGGATCTGGGCATAGAATAGGTACCCAGTGAAATATTTATGAAAAGAATGAGTTGATTTCTTCCCATTTTACCCAAAAAGCAAATTTACTCTGTCACTGCTAGAGAAGGGAAGCAAGTTGCCCAAACACTCGCTAATAGGTGAAGTATAAAATTTAAGTTAAATCCTTTGGTTCTAAGTCCAGGGTTCCTTTCAGGTTCCCACACCACGCAGCCTGATCAGCAGACTCAGCCTGGTGTCATCCCTAACCCCTAACCAAACAACACCTTTCCATAAAGTGCAAACAGCTTAGGCTTCAGTTTCCCCTTCTGAAGCATGGAAATTTCACTTTTTCTTTCTTTCTTCTTAAGTTTAAACTAAGGAAGACGAGGAAGATGGAAAGGAGGTCAAAAGCAAGAAGAGGTACCTATTTTATAAAGGAAATGAAGAAGCTTCGATTGAAAAATAACTGAGAAACCCAGGCTAAGAAAACCATGAAGGACAAAGCCACAAAGGAAGGGGAGCCTGAGCATTTCTTTCCCTTTTAGCCTCCAAGAATAATGAAATTATTTTGTCGGACACACTAATTCTCCCCCACAGAGAGGAGAACCGGACCGAGCCATTCCATTCAGTCCACAGAGCATCTGTCTAAACGTTAACAGTCAAGGCCGGTACCATCGCATTCATGCATTCGCATTCCTGTGCTGAATGCCACCTCCCGCTTGCTCTGCAAACAACTATTAATCTCTTTACACTTATCCCCATGCTGACAAGAGCAGCTGTTTGTCTCGCTTTCCCTCTCCCCTGACTTAGCCCTCTTCATCCTCCCTCTTCGTCCTCCCCTCCCCACAGGTGGAGCAAAACTGCAGGTAAAACAACTGAAGGGAGAAAAAGAAAGAAAGAAAGAAGAGGAAAAAAAAAAGCAAAACATAAAACCTGAGGCTGAGGTTGGTACAAATGCGTCCACACCCCTGGCTGAGCTAAAGCTCTCAGGTATCCGAGCCTGAGGCAACAGCCTGGAAAGGGACTGAAAAGATATTTGTGTTCAAGGTAAGGGTCAGTATACAAAGCACTCCTTAAGGTTCTGCAGGAATCAGATAATGCTCCCAGAGACACGTGCTTCCCTACAGCAGTACAATTAGGGAGGCAGCCTTCCCTGACAAAAAGGACAAAGGAACCGGCTGAGCACTTTCTCACAGGCAGTAAAAGGACTGTTGGGCACCCCTTTCCTCCTCCTCCTCCTAGCTACAGAGAAGGAACTTCAGCTAATTGTGGGCTTGGATGAGAACAAAGAAACACCGGCCCTTTGAATTTTTGCCCCCCAAAATATATAAAGAGAAAAGTTTGGGGCCAAGTTTTAAAAGCCAGTGAGCAAACACTCATGTATTCTCCGGGGACTTAAGAGAAAGGGAAATCCTATTTACCAAGAAATCACAAAAGAGACCCTGGGGTAGCAGTTCAGATTGAACGTACTCTGTGGAACCTGAAGCAGTGGAAATCGCATTCTGCACCTCACTGGTAGCATCGTGGGTGCCGATGGATCTACCTTTACAGTCTCAGGGAAGATGTCCTACTCGTCACTAATAGAATTTTATCCCTCGTGCTAATGTCTCCGTTCGTGTAACAATAAGTTGTATGTGTCAGTATTGGGCAAAAAGAAATCAGCATGTTATTCAAGTTATGAATAGGAAAACACACTTCAAACTGAAATCCTCCCAAACTACACTTGAGAGGAAAAGAGCCCAAGTACTATTCTCAGCTGTCTTCTTTTACTGAGAACAAAAGTCAACACAACCAAATTTACAATGACTGCAAACAAGAAACACACCAAAGGTAGAATTGTATGATATAAATTTACTCATTTTTCTTAAGTTTATTATAAAGATCAGTAAGTCAGAAACCTTCCATAGGAAACGTTGCTATAAAGTTAACTTCTAAAATGTCTAGTTTAAGAGGTTATTATTTGCTTCTTTGATTTAAAGAGACAATGCATGTGTTGACAGAGGATGCCTGGAGACCAAGGGCAGGTCCACAGCGAGGAGAAGAGCCAGTGCTGCTGACAGGACCAGCAGGATAAGCTGAGTGCTCAGTGCAAAACAGAAATGCAGAGTCCCTTGCCCATAAATCTTTCAGACTTTCAAAACGGTGATAGTAGGGACATAAAGCACCGGGCAGTCTGCTCAGAGGCTGGGCTGTGGGTGGGGCGAGCTATACAGTGTGCTGGGCCACGAAGCCAACCCTGAGTCAGGACAACATGAATAACATCAATCTCTTATTTCCCACCAGAGTGAAGCATCTGGGAGAAATGGGGGTGCTCATCCCCCTATTTTACAGTCCCCGATGACATTACTGTTACACAAACAAGTTTCACCAACACAGAGGTAGGAAGCATGGTACGCTGGGCTGCTGGTGTAATGCTCATTGGCAGTGACAAGAGCCACAGAAATGAGGATATGACACTTCACGTTAGCCACGAAAACTGTCCTTGGAAGGACTCGCTCAGGCCCCAAATGCCCTAAGTGTTTCTTCCAGCATAAAGATTATTAGAACATTTTAAATGAGGTAGGAAGTAGATCCGTCCTTTCTAACCATCTTGAGCTCAGAAGAACCTTAGCATACTTTTTTCAAGTACACAAATAATGAATGAATAACATTCATTCATGTGTGAAAGAGGAGGCAGTCTTGCTTCTACAAACTATAAAAGATTTAAACACACACACAACTTATCTGATAAACACTATAATCTTTCCAAAGAAATACCACTGATTTCTTGTGATTCAAAGCAGTTGTTTTATTTCCTATTAAAAGAACTATGAAATAGTGGAGAAGAGGCTGGACTCTAGAATACCACCACCAGTTGGGACAAGAATAAGTTAGGAACAGATGAGTCAATCTTTCCACAGAAAGGATGAAATGCCCCCAGGACACAGGGACACGATTCTGTTCATCACAGACCACCCTTAGAGTGGTCTGAAGTATGGAGGAAATTCACTGAAATGTTTTCTCAAAGCCATCTGTAGACTGATCTCTTTCTTTAGCTACCTTCAATTTGGAAGCTGCCTAGTAACTAAAATAGTAATATAGAGGACTAGATTCTTCCTGTCTGATCATCAAAATATCCTATGAATACAATTGATATAGCTGAATGTTATTTTCCTTTCTTGGATTATACTCTTATGATGGTCTTAAAATTAGAATATATTATAGACCAGGACTTTGTTTTCTTAAGCTGAATAATAACTGTTATACACAAAGCTCAGTATTAAATATCCTGATTTGTACTTGAAGTTCGTGATTTCATTGTTTTCCTATAAAAGAATTTAGGATCAAAAAGATTTCAATCAAGTCATTCCACCAGTGCAGTGGAAATAGGAATTTAGGTTTAATTTATGTTCCTTAATTTTCTCTCCACCAATTCATGTAAGAGAGATGTTATAAGTTGGCTTTTCTGGCTATTACTCTATGTACTAACTAGTTTATTGCAACATAGCAACAATAGCCCATAGTACATGGCAAACAACTTAGTAAAAATGGGAATAGGAACTAAATCGGGGATAGTAGAGGTTACTGTTTGAATATATAATCATAACTTATTTACCTTAATGGAAACAGACACATTTTACTGAGAACAATAACTTTCTGGGGTTTCATTTGGAAGAAATTATATTTACAACCTGTTAGTGACAGGACAGCTAGGTTAGGAAGCTTAGGAATCTGTAGCAGCACCTATTTCTTATATGGATCCTCTAATGCAAGAGGACCGTGAAATGGGACTCAGTAACATGGGGTCCAGATCCCATCACTGCCACCAAGGTGCTGGGTGGCCCTGGGGAATGTAATTGGCCAACTAGGACTTGTTTCCTGGAAGGTAAGTTGGAATTGTGGACACCAAGGGTGGGATGTAATACAAAAATGTGTCCAGTTCTGATAAGCAGCGAACTGCTCTGTAACCAGAAAGGCAGGCTCTGAGACTACTTTCTAAATAGTTGCATGAGACAACTACGCTTTTCCTATTCAGATTTCTCTGGACATCCTGAAAACCTAAGTGTTTCAGGCCGCATATTGTTTCCTCAGCTGGTATAACCTTTCACCTCAGGCGTCATGGAGGAGCTTTTGTGAACATTCTATATGTAGCCTCTCTTGGGAAAAGAAAACACTTTCTTTATGACCCTTGCTTTAGACAGCATTCATTCAATTATGCTTTAGCAGACAGTGCTACATTTTCATCCTTAAATATTAG